GGGATTGATTACAGCCGGCAGGCGGGTTGGGTTTCGCCAGGGCCATTGTCTGAGGAGCAGGGCTGCTTTCTTAACGAATTATTGACGGATGCTGACGCGGAGGGAAAGCCAAGATTATTCTTCTCATACAATTTATCCCCCGCCGCCGAGGCCGCCGCAGCAGCAGTGGGGATCAAGGGGTGGAAAACATTTTAGGTCGATGACAATGTCAAAATGAGCATTGTAATATATGACGTTGTTTTTGACACTGATGTTCCACAGAGCCATGGGGGCCAAAGGTTTTATACAGCAGCTGCACGTGTTCTAGCGAGACAGTTTTCTAAAAGTTTGATGGTGAATAAAGCGCAAGGATATGGAGTCAGCTAATGAGACACAGTGACCACTCAGGAACATGTGTGCTCACACAAACGAAAAGTAAAAGACCACATAGAAAACCATGTATAGTAACCTACCTACAGACGGGCGAGAAACAGAGAGGGGAAAAGGGGGGAGGGGCATGCCCATTCAAGTGGGAAGCAATATATCACACTTCACACAGTAGGCAAAAAATCACAAAACGAACAAAAAGTGTGATTTTTCCACTTTTGAATAATTATTCCTATTGTTTCCCTGTTCATTAAAAACAATTTCCACCCACCTAACCTCCAAAGCTGGTTCTGCCATCCTCTGCGGCGGCCGCGTTGCTCCTTGTCGAAGAAGTTGCACTTGTCACATAATTTGACTTTTTATAAAACTTGTTTTTGATGAACTTCTGATTGGAGATATGTTTTGCACAAAGATTAAAAACATAACCACACATTATGACAATGACGTTTACAGCGCGCAAAACAATAAACATTTTAACCACAACCACAATTATGAGCTGAACAAGTACACGAGATATGAGAAATTGGCCATTGTAGTTTTGCACAAATATGAGAAATTACAAAGTCTCTCCTGTCTCGGCTCTGTTTTTTGTTGTATTAATTGTTTGAATCTGCTCTTATGGAACTTTTAAGTTGCTATGCTGCCCGTACTCCTTGAATTCTGAATAACAAATAAAAGTTAAACTGAGCACACTGAAAGTATAACGGGCGATGGGTTGGATTTACTAATTCATTAATTCAGACGAGGGAAGTACTTAACTATACTTCGGAGGGTAAGGGTACGTAGGTGGGTGGCTATCAGGTACACCTTCCCTTGACACATATGGGAGTGCGCAGGGGCCAGGGAGTTGAGGTTTTGCTGTTGTCACCACATTTGAATTGCAAAAGAAAAAGGGAGCCCGATGGTTGTGGCGTGCCGCCCAGTCACACAAAAACGTTAAAATAACACGTTTTAATTATTTTGACCATTATTGCGACTTTCCGCATTTTAGGAACCAAGCCGTTCTTTCCGCGGCACTTCATCGCAACAAAGATTTAAAAATAAAAATATAGTAAAAGTAAAGCCGTCTAGAGGAGGTTTCACTTTTGTTTCGCGACACGGCACGCTGACTGACGGTGAGTAAGCGCGACACATTTCTCACTCGCGAGGAGGACGCCCGGAGCGCTATACACTTGCACCGCCGCGCGCCTGCCGCGGATTATGTAAAGCAGGTGCCGAATCCGGCAGGCGAGAAAAGCGCCATTTCAGCGCGGCTCGCGCGCCGCGTTTTAGTCGCGGATGAAGGGAACGGGCGACGCCGCGGAAACGACACGGCGTATCACGGCGCACCTGAAGTAGTAGGTACACAACGGCTGCGCTCGCCGTCGATGGGGAAAGGAACAGACGTCAACGGGGGGCAAGTCCGCGCGTGACTCGATATTATCGGTTTCATAATTTTGCGATTAAATCATGATTGTTACATCGGGTCGTGATGGAACGGACTCGGCCCACTCTTATAGACTACGACGGCTGCGAGTGCGAGGGAGTCCTGCTGGCGGGCAGCGTTTATCGGATGCGTTATTCCTGCTGTTTGTGTGGCTCGGACACGAAAAACAGCGGCGCTGCCCGTCGCGGTTTATTCGATGTCGTTCCGCCGCTTTCCGCCCGCCGCCGCCGTCGACGGCCGTGCTGCCCGCTGCGCGCGACCGCGCCGTCGTGTCTCTCCGTGGCGACCGCCGCCGCCGCCGAGACGCATATCGCACACCATCAAGTTAGGAATGCGTCTTGTCCTCGGCCCGAGCAGCGTGGCGTGGCGTGGCGTGGCGTGGCGTTGTTGGGGCGCGCCACTCCACACTCCACACTCCACCTGTAGGAGCTGACCCATATCGCTTGGGGGGTCCGGCCCGCCGCCGACGTCGCCTCCCCCGCACCCACCTCCCCATCCCGATTCTGGAGCATGGCGTCCAAATAACTTTTCTGGGCCGAGCTGCCGTGAGCTGTGTGGACGGGGCCCCAGGGGACGCGTGAAGTGATCGAGAAGGTGAGGACGAGGAGGGGGGAGAGGGGGTGCGGGCAGATTGTCGCGCTTACGGCCCCGGCCAGGTAATTTATGGTGGTGCCCCCTGAGCGTTACCTCGAGCAGACGACAGGACCGACAGGATGGCCATTCCCGCCGGGTGACGTCAGTAATCCTGGGGGAGGACCGGCGGCGGGCAGCCGCGTCTCGGCGGGATAAACGGGTAAAAGGAAAAGCAGAGGCGAATAAGAGCGGAGCGCGCGCCGTTCGTGGGGGTGACGTCAACGGGCCCTCCAACGCTGTGGGGTCCTGGCCACGGCGTCGTCGACGGCGGCCACCCCGGGCGGCTGGCCGAGTGTCTCGTGCAGGTCGACGAGGAGGCACCGCGATGGCGCCAGGTGGCAGGTGGCGCCAGTCCGGGCGGGTCAGTGATCGGCGAGGTCGATGGTGCAGGCGGAGTGGGGCGGGGCAGCAGGGTTGGCAGTGGGTCGCCGAGGACCCCGTCTCGGGCCGGGGCGCTTGCCCGGAAAGAGCGCGGAACTCACGGTACGATCTCGTGATGAAAAGCAGGTCAATCGGCATGACGACCCGGTTGAATTCCCCCTTATACCGCTTGTTCCTCCCCGTCCAACCCGATGGATTTCCCTCGTACCGCAGGGTACTGCTTCCTCGGTGTATTTCCCTTGCACCGCGGGGTACTGCTTCCCCGATGGATTTCCCTTGTACCGCGTGGGACTACACTTAACCGATGGATTTCTCTTGTACGGCGCGAGATCTTCCCCCAATGGCGATGGAGTTCCCCGCCGCGGGAGATAGGCCGCCCGCGCGCCGCCGCCGGCAGGCCAGGCTGGTCGCATGTCCAGATACCATCGCCGTACAAACGCTATTTTGTGAGGTACTCCTTCGATTGCATGTCTCGCTGGCGTTAGTGGGGGTCAGGCGGGCCGCAGTCGTTCACTCCATGCTAGTCGCCCTGCCACTGCGCGTCACGTACCGATATTGCCATCCTGGGAGGTCCTCCGCGACCGCAGCAGGCCGCTCTCCGGGTCCGAGTCATCGGCGTCCTGGGCCTGGGAAAGGACCTGCGCCTTGGCTGGTCCGTAGGTCCGTACTTTGCCGCCGTCGCCCGACTTGGTCACTTTGAACCGCTCGGCCATGCTGCAGTGGTGGGGCACTCCGTCATTCGCCCGTGATTCCCCCGATTGGATTCGGTTCGATCCACGCGCACGCGGTCCTGTTCCCGGCGAGGAGGGCGCGAGGTGGGCGCTGCGGGGGCGCGGTGCGGGGCGCAGGGGGTACCGGCGAGGCGCGGCTAGAGCGGCGCGGCTCTGGCGCGCTACTAAACGAACCCGCCAAACCGACCGCCAATCCCACCAAATGTCACCGAGTTCGCCCGCCGCCCGAGAGGGGCGCTAGCGCTCACCTCGCAACGTGGCCGTGCGGGCCTCCGCAGACATTTGTGGCGATGACAGAGTGTAGTGTACGTCGCTTTGAGGTCCGTTTCAACTGGATTTGTGGTATTTGAACTCTTGCAACCCTTTAGTGGCCGATTTGGCGAGTCTGCGCTACCCATGCCAAACAAAGAAAAAGTTGGAAAGAAGGCATGGTTGTCAAACAAACAGTAAACATTGACTCATGCAAGGCACTGACCAGGGAAAACATGGCCACGAACAGAGCTGCGTCCAAACGAAAATTGGAAAAAGTCGAACAAAATGGGAAAAATAACGCGTTGACGGCTCAAAATGGTGCAGAAGAATCAGACGAGGTAAGCTTTATGTTTTTTTCAATTTGTCGTTTGTAGTCACTCGGTCGTCATATGAATGTGTGGTTGAACTTCACCGGTGGTGTACCACAGATCTCTCACGTGGGTCTACGCCACTTGAAATAAATGTGAGAATTTACTCGATAAAGAAAGAAGTAAGGTCGTCGAACTTTTCCTGAGCTGAGAGGATGTCCAGTGCATTTTGACTAACAGCAGGCTGAGGCACAGTTACTTAAAGGGCGTATAACTAGTCGTCTGCAATTGTTTGTTAGGTTATATTTACATGGTGTTCATACGTGTTTTTGCATTGTATGCGAGCAAATAATTTAAGTCTCCTGATTCTTTTATCTGATTTTGTATTTTTTTTTACGCTTTCAGTAGATGTAGTTCGTATAGTTTTTGTAAAGACATACCCCCAAGCTTACTAACAATATGTTTGTCATTGTAGTTTTATAGTACTTTTATCAAAGTATTTTTCACATCATTTATTTTTCTTTTCCTTCAGGAGGATTATCTTCAAACAATCTCTGATGTTGACTCTTCGGACCAGGAAGGTGATCAGTCGGGAAGCGATGAGTCAGAGGGAGAATTAGAAAATATAGATGAAGACAATACTGAGGATAGTAGTGACGCCGATAGTGAAGAAGGCGAAAATGAATCTGATGACGGAGAGGAGGAAGATGATTCAGATGTTGAGGAAGAAGATGAGAATGAAGAGGAGAATGACAGTGAAGACAAAAGTGACTTGGAGTGGGAATCCGATGCTTCCAGTGAAGATGATGCTGAAAATCTATTAAAGAATGTCAAAAAGGTCACTAAAACTAAAGTGAAGTCTCAGGATAGCACTCTAGCTACAGAATCAAATGAATCTGCGTCTGAAGAACATCTAGACCCCTCTAAATCTATAAACTCCAAGGATAGTAAGGATAGCAATGTTCAAGGAACTTCTAAGGATGAGTATGAAAGTGGAGACACATCTGATGAAGAGGCAAGTATTTTAAAAAAAATACACTAAAGTACTATATTCCAGAATTATAGTGTTTTTGTTTTTTGATGAATATTACACACTGTCTTTTAAGCCTAAATTTTTTTAGACCTCCCCTCACTAGGACTACAATACCACTTTTTTTTCTCCTGTTTTTCAGGATATCCGCAATACAGTTGGTAATATACCCATGAATTGGTATGATGAGTATCCTCATCTTGGCTATGATTGGGATGGTAAACCCATCATGAAACCCAAGACTGGAGACACCTTGGATTTCTTCCTAAAGCGTATGGAAGACCCCAACTTCTTGTAAGTGCAGCACAGCTACTACTTCCTTAAAAAGAAATAAAAAATAAGTACTCAATTTTGGATTATAATTGTCATGATTTAATTTTAACATATTTTTTTTAGCCGAACTGTGAAAGATCCTCAAACTGGTCAAGATGTTGTCCTCAGTGATCGTGATGTAGAACTTATAAAACGATTGCAGAGTGGACAGATACCCGATGCTGCTTTTGATGACACAGCTGTAAGATATTATATTCTGCTCTTTCTGTATTTTTCATTTATTTGGGGCTCTCTTAATTAATTTTTATCTCTGTTATTTGTTAAATGTTAATTATTTGTTTTTCAGCCCTGGGTAGAATACTTCACATCAGATGTGATGAAAACACCTCTGCGGAAATTCCCAGAACACAAAAGATCCTTCTTACCAAGCAAGTCTGAGGCAGCAAAGGTATCAAAATATGTCCATGCCCTTAAAATGGGTTGGATGAAAACTAGGAGTGAATTGGCTGAAGAGCAAAGAAAGAAGAGAGAGAAGAACTTTTACATGCTGTGGGGGGCTGATGATAACTCTGTTGAAGAAATGCGTCGAATTGAAAATCATCTACCAGCTCCCAAACGACATCTACCAGGACATGCCGAATCCTACAATCCACCAGCTGAATATTTGCTTGACAAAGAAGAGGTAATGTCAATTTCGCTTTATTCCTTAATAATTATAAGTGATGTGTTTTTTTTTTTTGTTTGGTTTTTGGGTTTTTTTCTAGTAATTCTCACTTTTTATTGAATGAGTTTGACTACATTGTCCTATTTCCAGCTTCGTCAATGGAAGAAATGCCAGGAAACTCCATGGAAGAGGAAAATTCACTTTGTGCCTCAGAAATATAAGTCCCTTAGAGAAGTACCCTCATACCCTCGGTACATTAGAGAACGTTTCTTACGCTGTCTGGATCTCTACATGTGTCCACGTGCCCTTAAAATGAAGGTGGGCCCTGAACCAGATTATGAATCCTGTAATGTTTTATCAAGAAGAATCAAAGAATGTGTATCTGATAATGGCTATTTCTTTCCAGTTGATGATTGAGCCAGAAGACCTTGTTCCTAAACTACCTAGTCCTAGAGATCTACAACCTTTCCCTACCACCATGTCTATGGTTTATGAAGGGCACACCGATATGGTTCGCTGTATCACTGTTGATCCCAAAGGTCAATTTATGATTTCAGGATCAGATGACTTAACTATCAAAGGTATGATATCAATCTTCTTCTTGTTTCTATGTATTGCACTCATTCTATGTGCTATATGATTAATTTACTTTTGGTTCAATCTATTTTCTGTCCTAGTTTGGGAAGTTTCAACAGGAAGGTGTCTGCGTACAATCAATGTTGGAGGTGTTGTGAGAAGTGTGTGTTGGTGTCCAAACCAAGCACTCTCCATTGTGGCTGTAGCTGCAGATCGAAAACTTTTGCTAATCAATCCTGGTGTTGGTGACAGTTTAGTAATAGCAAAAACTGATCTTCTTCTCAAAGAAGAACCAGAAGACTCATCAGTTAGTAAGTATCTTAGTCAAAGTCCTAGTTTGTTTATTTTTGTAGGTACAAACTATTTTTTGTCTTTTACAAACCCCATATTTGTATTTTAAAGTTCCAGAGAGAGTTAAAGCGGCTGTGCAATGGGAACAAGCCAAAGATGAGGAATGGGCTTCAGGCATTCGAGTTGTCATTAATCATTTCAAGGAAATTAAGCAGGTCACTTGGCATGGCCGAGGTGATTATTTCGCCACAGTTATGCCAGAAGGTATACATCGTTCTGTTGTTATCCACCAACTCTCTAAGAGGCGGTCTCAAGTTCCCTTCAGCAGAAGTAAGGGTCTGGTACAATGTGTTTTGTTCCACCCTGTTCAACCCATGCTATTTGTGGCAACTCAGCGAAATATTCGTGTTTATGACTTATTGAAACAAGAAATGGTTAAAAAGTTGTCTACACTATCTCGATGGGTATCATCTATGGCCATACACCCTGGTGGTGACAATTTACTTGTGGGAACTTATGATAGGAAGATGATGTGGTTTGATTTGGACCTGTCAACTTCACCATACCAAACATTACGTCTCCATGGAACTGCTGTGAGGGGTGTGGCTTATCATAAGCGTTACCCACTCTTTGCCTCTGGCTCGGATGACAGAAGTGTCATTGTTTCACACGGAATGGTGTACAAGTAAGTATAAACTTTCCAGTTGCTATTGGCAATTATTTCCCTAGTTGTAACTCTTTCTTTCAATTAAGATTAATGACAGTCAGTGGTCAGAATTTTATCACTAAGTATGTATCTTTATCTCTTTCCAGTGATCTGTTGAAGAACCCTCTCATTGTTCCTCTGAAGAGGCTGCAGTACCATGAGCCTAACAATGACTTTGGCATATTTGATGTTATTTTCCATCCAACACAACCGTGGGTGTTTTCCGCTGGATCAGATAAAACCATCAGATTATACTCATAGTAATTCAGAACATTTCTAAATAAAAGTTATATTTTTTCTCCAAGTAAATTGCACATTATATTTAACCCTTTGTTACCTTGTTCTACTTTTACAGAAGTTTGTGTTTTCGATCGGGCGGGTAAGACCGAAAATTTTAGCCCGACTCCATTTAAAACAGCTCCAGGCGGGATAAAATTCTAGGCCATACCCGCCCGATCGAGAACACTAAGAAGTACATTTGTCTGTAGAATAAGAATTGTGTACATTTAGCAGATAAATTTGTCCAGGTTTCATACCGGATCTGTATATTCTTTATGCCTGACTTTTCCCTGATTTCCAGATGAAAATATCCTGGTTTTCCCTGACAATTTTTCATTGAGAGAGAAGGCAAATTTTGCAAAATTGAGGGGAAAACGGACTTATTTCGTAGAAAAATAAAATAATGCTTTATAAGTCAAGAAAGATAACTATCATTCTTACTAAGGCATCATGGCCACAATTGGCCCATACGTTCACGATGCTATGCTCGTCGCGCAAACTACTATATTTCTTAATTTTTTCCTGACTTATCAGATTTTCAGTAAATTATCATTTTCCCTGACATCCCTGACCGGTACGAACCCTGTTGTCAGTCTCACAACTCCAATACTGATGTTACAGGCATTGTGGGATTGTAGAATCAAAATCAAACAAGAATACTGTTATTACTTCGTTTATTTTTTTAAAAAGTTTTCAAAGAAACAAGTTTTGGAAAAGCATGTGGACAAAGGCACAGCGTGAATTGCCTACCATACCAATACATTATCAAAACATTTCGAATAAAATTTACTTAAAGTTTTCATGTACATAAAAAGACCTTGAGCTCCATTTTTTATGTTTTTTTATTTTTATTTTTTTTTAATGAATTTGACATTTTAACAAGAAAAAACATGCAAAAGGGAGCTATGTACATTTATATAAAAATAACAGCAGGGGAAATTTAACTTCATAAATTCATATTACACAGGGAGAATCCTCTTACTGAGTCTTGAGTGTTGGTATACTAAAATCTTAGAAAAAACAGAAAATCTGATTTCATAAGACACTAAAAATTCATTACTGTCATCACAAGTTTGCAATTTGCTATGGTATCGACTATTTTTATTTGTACAAAATAATTAGTCAGAAAAATATTTTGACTAGTTTGAAAAGTGCACAATTCAGGTACCCATAAAAAAATATTAAGCGTCTATACTTGTCTTAACCACGACCCTGCATGTTGACATGCATACCCATGTAAAACAAAAACATCACAAAGTGGGTTTCCTGAAGTCTACACTTATGGCAGTTATCAGTGTTTGAATCCAGAGTAACAATATAAAATTTGCATATGATTCAGTCTTTCATTTGCTACTCAAGACAGACTCAGAAATAAAATATGCAAATATCAAGTGAAGTTTGAGCCATGTGACGATACTAAGGGTTTACAACCACTGGACGGGGGAGTAAGTAGACCTAAAGCTTTAACTTCATCATCTTGTGCCAATTTTTCGGAATATGTTTGTGCAGCTTCCTGCGGAACCAAAATAAGATGTTAATTTCACTCTTGCATAAATCATGATAATTCACATGAATCCTCGTGTTTCCTTGACTTACCAGCATTTCCAAATTGACACAATGTGTTTGAATATTGTGGGAGTGATCTGTAACTATATTAGGCACAGCTTTGTTCAAGCCAGAGCTATGAGTTGAGCCTGAACTTTGATCAGTTAATGAACTGGGAGGAAGCCCAGCAGATTTAAGAGTCATAGCAAAAGGTTTCATCCATTTCACACATGATTGAATATCTGTCCATTGCAGTCCTGAAATCATAGAGAAAAGTTAGGAAAGGGAAGCTAACAAGCACATGATTTAAAGGTAATTAATTGATAAGTTATTCACCTGAGAAGCGTAAGGCAATTTCTCTAGACACTGTATGGTGCAAGGCTGATGTTGCTAATACAGAATATGAAAACTGCAAGCACCCAGCATCTAGGGTACACAAATCCAACAACTGTGCAGTTTCAGAGAAAGAAAGGCCAGAAAACTGAGGGAAAACAAACGATGATCCAAGATTTTCTTCATGAGCAGTTTGCACTTCGGGTTGCAGAGGTGATGAAAAAAGACCCCCTAAGCTTGAGCGGCTCATGCGTCGATTTAGTTTTTCTCTGGCAGCAGATCTTTGCTGACGTGCTACCACTCTCCGATGGCTGCTTACCAGCTGCATATAAGTATTAAGCCAATAATTCACTGTCAAGGGACTCATTCGCCATTCCAAGCACTGAAAGAAAAAAGGAAAAAAAGTTAGTTGTGTGGGTAGTAAAAACAGGCAGACACATTTTGGAGTGCAGGGATGGGGATAGGGAATATACTTTAGGAATCTACATCTTAAAGCTACAATAATTGTTAACATTGTAATAAGTGTCTCAATTTGAGAAAATTTGTCGCCTTATCAGGGTCTCAGCAATGCAGGCAGACTGCAAAGTGAAGATCCAACAGGCTTTTACTTACAGCACCACTGTTAGTCTACAGGGGTATTGTGTGTACTGAAGGGGGCAGGGCATCATACAAGTTGGAGGGATTAGCCAGACTGACTGCATTACCTTCATGATTGCTAGTTCTTTTGATAGAATGTCAGACTCAGAGCAAGCTCCATCGGTCACATATGCGAACTCGCCGATCTTAGGCGGGTAAATCTCTTCCATTTTGGCAGCAATGAAGAGACATGTGATTCCTGCACAGATAAAACAATAATGGCATAAGTATGAGGCAGACAAACAAAATCTGAGAACTAGCTCAGCTTCCCAGGCAATGAGCTTACCTATGAGCTGCAATTGAGTCTTGGGAAGATGTTGTGTAAGTGCAAGGTAACGGTCCAAGAAGTCCATAGCCAAGTAGTATGTTTCTCTATGAAGCCTGTACACTTCACATACTTCTATTAGCCAGTCCAAAAGGACAGACCGCATGCGGGGCTGTAGAAGAGGGTGGTGGACAAACATGTCAGCATTGCGCCTCTCTGTTGATAATGCATCTTGCATACACATTCCCTCCCAAACATTTTTCTCATCAGCCCATGTGAATGTTGGAAGAGGACATGATCGCTCTGAGGTTGGTGCTGAAGGTTGACATAATGATCCCCGAAATCTATAACAGACCAGAATTAATCATGACATTTCAAGCAAAACAATGAGCAGTGTTCCTAGAAAATCCGTTCTAAAAAATCTTACCTGCTCCAGGTACGGCAATTATCTATGGGAGTTAAGGGGTAAGTTTGTGGTGGAGGTTCTGGACTGAGAACTGTGCAACCATCATTTTCACTTCCTAAGTCATCATAAGATGCCTCATCACTAGATGATGGAACTTCAAAGCAACCCAGATCTTCACTTGGTATTTCAAAATTGATTGGTGGACATTCATTTTCTTTATCGTCACTTGATAAGACAACAACACTGTCATCACTGGGGGGATCCAGTCCTGGTAATTCTTCAGCATGCTGGAAATGAAAACAAGAATTGAGAAATTGAAACGCTTGGCTTTTGATGAACTACATACTCCAGTTACTCAAGTCAAAGCTTACCTGTTCTGATGCTACATTTGATGATTCTTGCGATGATTCGGCATTCTGGAACCAGAGTAAAAGAAAACACTTTAGCATGATATGAAAGAGCTAAGGCTGCTGAACCATCTATGAGACTACATTCTACTCTGCAATGCAAATTCTACACATGGCCTCACCTCAAGCCACTGTCCTGGGGGTGGTGGACCAGGTGGTCGTGTATCCTGCAAAAATAACATGCAATGTTAGTAAAGGCCATGCAGAACATGCAGTAAGGAGTAAGGAAAGAACCTAACAAGATGTGTTAGAACTTCTAAATGAGAAGAGAGAGACAGTGAAGATATTCAACAGGTTCCTTTGAACACACCTCTCCGTCGTCGGTGTCTCGGCGTTTCCTCTTCAGAAGTGCTGGCAGTGTGGGTTGGCTGTAATGCAATTAAAATAGTTAATGCTTCATTCAAATAATCTGTGATCCAAATAATCTAATAGTCCCCTAGAAGCATAACTTGTAACTATTAAGCTAAGTATAAGGTTAATTAGCTTTAGCTAAAATCTTTTTCGTTCTAGAACAGAGGAATTTTCTAAATATAATTGAGTACTAAACAAAAAAACTTACCTTCTCCGACTCATGATGTGGTTCTTCTTGAAGGCTTAGGTGAACGTCATACAAGCTCTCTCGTCCCTCTACAAAGACAGGTAAAACCAGAATTAGAAAATATCCAAGGAAAATTGATCAAAACCTTCCCTACGTAGGCAATACAAATACATGAACAATATTCATAAGACAAAATCACAAAAAAGGTGTGATTATCTCCAACGTGTGCATAAATTATAAATGGTATTTTCAAGTGTTCAGCTCATTTCCAGTTAAATCGGAAATAGAGTACTAGAGCACAGAAAAACTTTCAGAAAATTAAACATTCTGAACAAGAAAAAGAAGTACAAAAAAGTACATGCATATACATTATGGTTAGGAACTAGGCATGCAAGAGCCCAAAATTTTAAGTTGATGAGTGATAAATATTAATATCATCCCTATGTAATAATTAAGATACAAGTCCACATAAAAAAGGTGGAAAATTACTGTACAATGAGTTAAAAATAAGAAAAAAATTCAATGATGAGCGTGTGGTTTCGATTTACTAGGTCACAGACCGCGAGGTACAAGGGCCACATTGCAATAGTCACATATCGAAATAGTCACAAGTTTTTCAAATCTGTACTGCAAGTATTACAAATTTGAAAGAAGGAGCTATCAGAAAACCAGAGGACAAGAGAAAACTCGGAGTTACACATAGAATGTTGCTTAGTGAAGAAAAAAAGGCGACGAATGCTATGGGGTCATCTCCCGCCGGAATGCGGGAACAATGGGATAGCATCAAAGAGCGTCCCGTGAAATTTCTGAACATTTTTAGGGGCCGAGTTAACTTTCCAGCAAACTTTAGCTGAGAGAAGTAGAAAATATGACTGCAGTAGAGAGCCTACACACTTAAGAACGGAAATTTAGCTTCCTAGTAATTGCTCCCTTCGCGCGCGAAGTGCAGCCCTGACGAGCACATACCGCGCAAAGCCAGTCCACGTATGTGATTTCCAGGGACCAACACATCTCACTTATTCTCCAGGAGAAAACCCCAGGTCGCCATGGGTGATGTGGCGACGCAAGAGAGCACTTATAATACTTGAGAACTCGGAAAATGGTCCAAAGAAAATTCCAGTGAGGTGAACTAGAGAGTATCACTATGTATGGTAATAAGGAGTTTTCACTAAGTTTTGAAGTAAACTATCACTATTTTTTTCGCACCACGCACTTGTTCACTTGTACACAGCACTGATAATTAATCCAAAGGAGTGTGTTATCCTCAAAATCCGAGATGCCATGATGTGATGCACTGGGTAGGAAGACGCCGGTAGCCATTAACCAAGGTGCTTACATTTGCGGGATGTGAGGCTTCTGCGGTTAATCCGAGTTAGATGCACATAATTTTAAACACTTGCAGTGTCCTTGGACGCCAAGGACCACATTCTCCGACACTTAGCAATCGACAGAGCCTGGGGGGACCCACAACCTCACAGGCTCAACAGTTACTTTGCGACGCATGGAATGAAGTGCGAGCGACCACTGACAAGACTGCACTGCGGAGGGGTGAGAGGAGTGGTGCTGGTGTGGAGGAAGGGGGACAGCGACAACATTGGGGGAGTGGTGGGGGAGCGACAGTGCTGCGCTCTGCGTCAGTTTGTCGCCGGTTTGCCGGTTGGGCACCTGAACGAAATAGGAGCCGGACGATGACGTCATGGATATGCGTGTTTCACGGCGCGACGGAGGCGGAGGCGGGGGCAGCCGGAACATGCATTGTGAGCATTGGGAACGCCGATTCAAAATACCGATAGAGTAATACTTTTTAAATTTATTTTTCATTATTTTTTTTGTTCAAAATGATTGGTTTGACCGTTGTTCCAACCCGAACGAGAGCTACGACTGTTCTTTGATTTTTTTTCCTCTAAGTATTTGAAAATAAATTTGAATAACATTTTAATGTCTGAGTGATACTCATTAGGTTCTTTGTCAGGTGAATTTGTTATCTATTAATAGTGTGCTAAACTAAATAAAAGACTAGACGACAAAATTTATTTTATTTTTGGAGGTTTTTATTGATGAAAGAAACTAGTTAACATATAAAACGCACTAAAGAAAATCAAAATTTTATAATTGTTGGAAAATTTAGTGAACATTAACAGTCATAAAACACAATAGCCCATATTAACCAGAAACAGTGAGCATATGGGTCACTAAATACTTACTTTTAACAGTAGAAAAGAAGCATAAAAATATTTTAATGCAGAAAATACAGTTGTTAAATTCAACAAACAATTACGGTGGACAAACATTTGCACATACAACATAATAGATCACTAGATATCTAGTTTTAACATAACGAAAGAGAAAATTAAAATGTTTTGATAGGAAAATACAATTAAGAAATTCAATACACATAATAACTCCGACACTACATTAACACACCGGATGTGATACCACTGGTCACATTTGGCACATGTCAGCCACTGATCGTCTACAGAATTACACTTACCACATGTGGTCCAATGATCGTCATCAAGAGAATTACAGGAGGAAAGTTCTTCATGGCACACACCACAAGATTCTTCGGAGTAGGTTTTTCTCTTAAGGCACCCTCCAACAATAAGGTCATACATGGTTCTTCGAAAGTCAGGAACATTCTCAATTAAGTTATAGGAAAGTTTTTTTTGTGCCATTTGCTCTGCAAAAGAACAAACATAAACTCCACAACTCATAGAGTCCATTTGTTTTTTTGCTTCAACATAGATAATATCATCCGCAACCTCATGAGATGAAGAGGGGGGGAAAATAGATTTCAGGTCAGAGTGAAGCTGGAAAAGCAGTTTTTTCGTGGCAGCATCTCCTTGCAGGTCTCCTTGCAGTGGGTCATAATACCAGATCTCAGGTTTCAGTCCTCTCAGAAATACTGCTACAATGCACCAATGAGCTCCAGTTAAGTTAGCTGGGAGTAGTATGACTTCAACCTTCTGGCCAGCCAATTTTTTTTTTAAGATGTTTTGGTTTGACATGCCATAATAAACAGCCCTGACAGCCAAATCAGATGATAAGCTCAGACATGCTGGATACATTTCTTGAAGTTTATCCAAGTAAGTATTGATGATAGAGGAAGAGAGCCAACCAGTATGAAAGGCTGGGTCTGACTTTGTGCACAATTTTTTTTCCTCTTCAGACAATTTCATCTCAAGTGTCTTCAAATTCAGCAAAGTAATTTTTTCTTGACCACATTTTAAGACTACATCGCAGGGGCTGGAGGCATATGATAAAGATGGGGTGAAATTTTCTGTAACTCTTATAACATCCAGAAGATTTTTCACCACAGCCGCCTTTTTTGTCGGACTGAGTTTGTAGTCTTTCGGTGCTTTTCTTTTCTTGGGCTTGTTAAATGATGCTAATTGGGAAACTTGAGTTTTCAGCTTTTCATTAGAATTGAAATGAACAACAGGTGTCATAGAAGATATATCATCAGCTTCTGCCCCCTCTGACATATATTTCAGTTTCAGAACAAGTTCACTAGTACTTGTTGCAGCATGAGCCATAGCATTAGGCTTGCTCTCAGCAGAATGCAAAATTGAGGTAAGAAAATCTAGATTCTTCTGCAAGTCCTGATAGTGCCGCTTACTGGCCCTTCCCTGATCACTGCCACTTGTAGTAGGAGTAGCAACTGACGGGGTAAGTTCCTCTTCACACAAGTCCAAACAATTATTGGACTCATTATCTCTCACTTGTACAGCATTACTTCGCATTTGAATTGAATGGACTTTGTGTATATGCTTGCAAAGAGGATGGTTATCAGGGCAAGAACAGGAATACAAATGAGCACATAATTTAGTACAGGGAATGTCAGTGCACTTTGAAAAACAATGATCAAAAGAACACTCTTCATGATATCTGACAACATGATATTTGAGACCCCCTGTTGTTGCTGTCACATCCCAGGTATCAGGTTCAAGCTCAAAAATATCTTCATCTTTAATTTGCATTCCTCGTTTGTGGCGCTCCAGAATTTCTTGAGGTTTGAATGCAATGCCTGTGGTTGCTTCTCGAACTCTAGTGATATAGTCATCCCACGCAATATCCAGAAGAAAATTCACAAGGTCATCCAGACGTCTGTTCACTTTCCTTCTTAAGTAAACTTTTAGGCGATGATGGAAAGACTCCAGATGACCAGTGGTATTGATATTGGCATGGGGGAATTTTCTGAAGCACATTGCCCACTTCTTAGCTCTGTCTTTGTAGTACTTCTCATAATACTTCTCAATAAAACTCTTGCATTCTAAAGAGTTTGTATATTTTTTGATAAATCCCTCTTGCAGTTCTAAGAATCTTTTTTCATTGATTTCATTCATAATCACTCTGAGCTCTAGCATCATAGATTCAACCATGCCAGCTGGTACATGGAGTCGTAAGTTTTTCTTAAAATTTTTCAGTATATGCCATTTGCAGAGAATGTGGACCAATTCTTCTGAAAAACCCATCTCCATGCCATTGATGAGAGCAGGAGCATCATCCGTTATGACACAATTAACTTTTACATCAGGTGGCAGCTTTGATTTCAGTGTTCTGAAGAAATATTGTAGGGTGATATCATCACTCTTACTTGTCACCAGATGGGCAAATGGCCAACCTCTTCTGTTGTCATCAATAACCATAGCAGTTAAAAGCTGGTACTTATGGTGATTGGTCCCATGTGTCTCATCAAGTAAGACTATTTTATGGCAGTGTTCTGTCATCAGCTCTGCCTGGCGCTTGGTTTGCAAAGCCAACATAAATAAAGTTTCACTGTCAGGTAGAGCATCAATCTCCTTAGGACCTATCACTACTTTACTTTTGAAAGGCTTGTATAGCAACACGCAATCATCCTCAGTAGACAGTTGATTTACCATCATCATCAATGCCTTTGCCTCATCCTTGTGAAACCTTCTTCTTTCTCTTATTTTCCTTGCTCTTTCTCTTATCCTCTTTTTAGTGATAACTGCAGCTTTGCATTGCATGATTTGATTTCTTGAAAATGACTTGGGAACAGCCTCAGCTAAAGCATCCTTCAAAATTTTGGTTGGTGAGACACCCCACGCAAGCTTTTCATTTATGAAAAGGTTCAGATCCTCAGAAACTGGGTGATGAACAAAGTCCTGAGGGCTGCAAACATGGCTGTGGGATGGGAAGTAGATAACATTAATTATCCTGTCTTTATCAAGCCACACCTTCATCATTGCTATGCAATAATGACCAACTTTTATTCTGCCTTTGCCATTAAGGCGAGAAGTTTTCCGTTTATTATGAGATGATCCATCATGTTGACAATACAGATATTTTATTTTACTTGCATTCTGACCACTCTTCTGACTAAAATAAGAGAATGTTTGCTCTTGTTCTTTAGTCTTCCATTTTTTAAAATCATCCTCTGAATCAAACTGCATTGAAATGGGGTCCTTTACAGAAATATCTTCATGACAATTTTTTAAATGTTCAATGAGGTCAGATTTATGGTAAAATTCCAGGTCACACTTAGGATGCAAACATGGTGTATGACGCCTGTTATTATTTGACACTCCAGTTCCTTTACCAAAAGCAGACTCTTTTGCAGTTGCAGAGGTTTGGTACGACACTCCTTCCTCAAGTACTTTGACATTGTTTGAAGCAGATGGCAGTTCATTTTGAGCTTCATGTTTTCCTTTACACCTTGAGAAATGAATTTTGAAATTATCGTTCCTATTGGAAGTAAGCCCACAGAATTCACAAGTGAAACATAGACTTGTATCTTGATTTCCTGAACAGGACTTCTCATGTCGATTACAGTTTTTCCGCAAACTAAATACTTTGCTACAAAATTTGCACTTTATAACACTTTGATCTGATGACGTTGATACTTCTGATGCTTGTGGTTTGGTGAATTTCTTGGGAGGAATATAAAATTTATCACAAATTTTTTCATGACTCAGACATTCCTTTCGGGAGGGAAATGATACCAAACAAAACTTGCATTTCCATCTTTTGGTTTCCGAATTATGATTCTGAAGAGGAGACCGTGAGCTCTCATCTTCACTGGACTCATCACTTAATGGCATGTACAAATGGGAATCTGGAAAAAAAATTGGTATATTATAAATTTGTAAGACAATTGTTGAATAGAATGCTGCAAAATTAGTAGCTGATTTTTTAATCCCTTAATTATTTATTACCTGCTGAAGGATTTTCCATAATGCTGAGGTAAGATGGTTAACGAGGTATCCTTATCCTTACACTGAACCTGAATAAAATATAGAATAATATTCAAACAATCAGGAACCGTCTAAATCCCATATAGGGGCAGTACCATTGTCCAATAAAGTCTTTTGTTATTACCTCCATAGGCACCCGATAAAACAATGAAGAAAGATAACATGGTTGGATTATTGTCCGTGGCACTAGAAATCGACCATTTGACCGACACCTAAACAAGATGTGAAGCATATATCAGTGAATTCCATTGAAAGAGCACAAAAGTACCTCAAGAATTTCGCGATTATCTGGAAAAAGCGCCTCTTACCCATTCCATTGTTCGATCTGGCGGGAGCGACCCGCTTAGACGCCGCCTGTCGACGAACCAGAGTACAAAACCATTCAAGAACCGAAACTTGTGAACGGTTCTTCTTGAAACGGCTAAAAATTTCGGAGACCTCGCTCGGGTCACGGGGTCGAAACCGCCCGCCGGCTCACCTGTTCCTACCTGTCCGCGGTAAACCCCCCTCGCGGCACTCTCCGCCGCGTCGCCTCTCCGCGGAACGGCCCGAAACACACACATCCATGACGTCATCGCCCGGCTCCTATTTCGTTCAGGTGCCCAGCCGCCGGTTTGCCGCCGTTTGCCGGCCGCTGGTTGGCTGGGCGGTCGGTCGGAAATGGGTCCAGCTGGCGCTCACAGCTGATTACTCGCGCGCAGCGGGCGAAACCAGCGCGGGAAAGTGGCGCTGGGGCTCGGGCCCGGATGGCGCGCGCCGAGCACCGCGTCGCGAGCGCCGCTGCGCCGCCACGGGGACCCGAACTGATTTCGCGCCTGAACCCGCGCGCGCGGCGCGAAGACCGCGGGGCGGGCCGTGGACACGGGCCTAGATGAGCGGGTGCTCATCGTAGATGTTCGGGCGCTTGTCCCGGGGACAATGAACAGCTCTCTTGGACTGGGTGTGCTGTTGGCGCCGCCGCCGGGCGCAGGCGAAACAAAGGTTTCACTTGCGTAGGTGAATTCTCGTAGCAGAGGGCTGGGAGCAGTCATGAAAATATATGTTTGCACCGTGGGCTTCAGAGCCGCTTATAGGAACCTTAGATTGCCTGCAACCCGGGAGCAATTGGGTTTTTTTGGGGTTGTTTTGTCTGAAACAGTGTTGGCGCGTCAGGAGGCTGGGCTGCGGCCCGACCAGCTTGGAGTGCCAGGCAGCCCGGCCAGCCCCGGCCGCCGCGCCCCGCCACGCCCCGCCACTCCCGACTGTGCGCGGTGGTGCCGTGTTGGCCGTGCTCGCCGTGCGGCCGGGGTGCCAGGTCGGCCCTCTTCGGGCTCCGGGCGAGGTAAAGCTGGCCACCGGAATTCTGCTCGATGCTGTTCTGCCGTGCCACGCCAGCGCGCCCGGGGCTCGGGGGCCGGGGTAGGCCGGCAGGGCAACAAGGCACCGACGGACTTCGGGACCCTTGGGCCTGGCTTTACCCCGGACGAGCCGTGCGGAGAGGACCTGCCCGACAGACTTGGGGAACCTGCCACGGAGGGTCCGGGGGCCGGAGGGGGACGGG